AATTTTACAACGATTCACACAGTAAATTACTCATTAAACATTTAGAAAGGAATATAAATTTTCAACAGGGCAAAAAGTGTTGTTTGTCTCTTAAAGTTTGCTCAATTTTGGCTGGAGATACTCCTAGATGTATTGCAACTGATTTGCTATATGGTTTGTTTATCAATAATCTGCCTGTTGGTAAGGCTGAATATTCAGATATTTGATAAAATTGAATGTTGAATATTCAAATCGTGAATTATTCGCATTGACTCAGCCCAAAGGTATGAGTATTTGCACAGTATCATTATGTTTCAGTGTTCAATTCATTTTGCTGCATTGTGGCAATTATTTCCATAAAATCTCCTGTTCAAACACATAATACTTTCCTTCTTCATGCCTGAAGCCTAACCCCTTTGGCTCCTGCACTAGAAAGCATACTGAACCTCACAAAATCCAACATGTACACGCAGGTCACTGTACCAAACCTGATAAACTCTAACAGAATGAGCCCGTTGGAGTTTGAGTGATATGGTATGGATGGGTCTATGCAGTATAGGATGACTTGCACTGAACAGTACCAAACCTGACAAAATCAAGCATCGTCCAACAATTGGTACAGCAAGCCAGACACTGCACACAGTGACCCATGTGTGTCCCAACTCACACAGAATCCAACACCATCTCCCTGGGCCTTGCATCCCAAGTCTCACAAAATTCAACCACAAGTTCCTCAGGTACGGTACCAAACCTGCCAAAACCTCACAAAACTTGCTGTTGGAATATGGCAGATTTGGGGAAGTTAGGATTAATTAAAACTGTTTCGAAGGTGTAAGGCAAATGTACAAGATAGCATTTAAGCAGGAGGGCTGTCATGTGAAATTTTGGTCGATGCAAACCTTCGATGGGTAAAAATAAATGAAGATACACTATCTATATATGCTCAAGCGGTATCTTTCGGTCACCTGTACTTTGGGGGCCAGTAGTGGGCTGCTGGCCTGACCGGAGACCACATTGTGCAGCAGGATCTCCCCACTGGCCGAACCGGATGCGACGTAGGTGTCATTCCAGTTGAAGGTGGTGCAAGTCACTGCATCTTGGTGGCCCTGCAGAGGTCCAATGGTAAAAATGAAATTCTCAGTCTTCGCTACCTTCAGCAAGAGCTGACTGAGACAAACGAAATGATTTTTTTTTTTTTCATTTGAGGCCTGGTTTTCTTAAACAGCAATTTCACAGCAAATAGTGAATTCACCAAAGTCCTTGTCACACATCCAACTGCGAGCCCGAACGTGGACTGGGGGTCAAGCAACAGAAGATGAGCGACAAAAGGCAAGCGTCGGTTTGCTTCAATGGCTTGTGACTCAGCTTGGGAGTGGGATAACTTGGGGCTGACTTCAATTTTGGACGGGCCTTAGAGGAACTGGGTATGACACTGGCTAGGTTCACTGTTTCGTCAGTGTTTGGTTAAACTGGGGAAGACTGACTAAAGCAAGACTAAAACCTGGAACCTCCAAAACATACACATGTGCTTCTGCTTGAACAACTGAGCTCTCCCATCCTTAACTACTCCTGACAGGCCCAAAATCCTTCCGCAAATACCACGAGGGACTTCCTGAATGCCCGAGTGATTTTTGTCCTGCACAGGAGCCCTCCACGGCTGATCGGGCCAGTGAGAAATTCTACATTTCAAAGAGGAAAAAATCCCGGGCCTTTTGGAGTGGACCGTGCAGAAACAAGGAAGTGCTCTTGACCCACTACATGGATTGGCAACAGTTCGTGTCAAGTTAAACTTCCATCCAAGTTTGATTCAGCAACCATATGCCACGTTGATGTGATCTATTTTGACCACTGATCGAGTTTTGCATAGGTCAACTTGACCGGTGGCTGACTAGTAACATGAATGTAAAAGACTTCTGCAATCCCACCCATAAAAGAGTTTAAAACACCTGTATTCACGACAGTTTGTCTAGATGCCTGAACAAAGCCTCGGGTTATATATGTAATGGGAAGCTTGACTTTGCATAAAAACTTGGTGTCAGTTCTCTGGGTAAAGGTTTCACGCACCATGTACGTCTTCTTGACTTTCCTGGACTTGAGGTCCCAGATGCTGACCACGCGATTCTTGCCTCCCGTCAGAAGGTAACGTGACGTGGAGTTGAAGGCGACACAAGTTTGCTTCTCCTGGTAGAAAGGGAATTTACACAAAAGCTTCAGCTCTTTTGTTGTTTTAACACAGAAACTGTGTCAACAGATAGCACAATGCTTATTACAGACCTCTATCGTGATGCTGCCATGTTTATCTTGTTCCTTGTACACCCACTGGCAATCGTAATACTTCACACACTGAGAAAAGGGTACAGACTATTTTTCCTTCCAGCCTCAGCTTGGTTACATTGCTTTAAATGGCGAGAAGCAAGATGGCTGCCCCATGACAGAGGTCCATCTATAGCCTTTCCAGCCTGCCGCCTTATAGCCTTTCTGTGGCAAATGTACTTGGAGTATGCAATTGCCTTGGGTCTTAACTACTTTTATCCCAATTCTCACTGATTCAGGATAAAAATGGTTTACCCACCACACCACAAAGGTCATTTGTGACAGTAGCTGGCTTCAACAGTACCAAATCCATTAACTCTAACCCCCTATGGTGTATGCAAAACCAAACTGCAGTTGGCGGATTCAGGTCAGGCAGGGTTAAAGTACAGTCAAGTCTTCATATAAAGACCACTTTTGGCTAAGGCCTGGTCTCTTGCTTTCCTTTCCTGTCTAGTCAATTTACAAGGCTCTGTTTGTCACAAGACCATTTGGCTAGTCTCTAGTCTCAGCAACCTACAATAACAAGAGCAGATGACCTTGCAACACCTGGGTGAGAATTTAAGGGGGAAGAAGGGAATTGGGGAAATAGGAGGGGGCCTTTAAAAATATTACTAAACTGGAATTTTTCTGGCAACAGATTTTGTGCGAAGTGATACTGGCTTGGAACTTCCATATGATGGGGTAAAGACAATTTCTTCCTCAACACTTCCATTAGAAACAACAGCAAACCAAAAAGGTTTGGGGGCTTGAGTCAGTGTACCAAGATGCCACATAAGACCAGTCATGTAAACAGCAATTTAAGTGTATTAAACAAGAGATAACTCCCCCGTGAATTTGTCTTGATACTACGAAAGACTTCAAACAAACAACAGCAAAAACAGATGAACATTTCATCACAGAAGTGTGAAGTGAGAGAAAGTCAAACGATTTCATGTGTCACTCACATCCTCTGCTATTTCAATGATGTTGGACGCTGCATTCTTGACAAATGTCAGCACGACTTTGTCCCCCTGACTTCCCGCGCTGGCTAATATCTGATGTAAAGCATTGCAATTAAGGTAAAAGTGCTCTCTTGATATGGTGAGGTTGGAAAATTTGGTCACGCCCGCTGAAAACATTTGCCAAGCATGAGAAAGCTTGGAAGAATGTGCGGTTCAACATTTTTTCAAGTGCGAGCCTGTTTTTTTTTTTTATTTCCTGTTTTTTTTTTTCCACTTACAATTTCTAATCAAGTTCTTCAACGCAACAGATTTGTTCAGTCTATATCTCAATGAAACAATGGCAGGAGATAAGGAAACTTTGAAAATTGAAAAAATAAATTCAAATTGTTAGGTTTTTCAACTGGCTGAATGGAGAGCAAAACATAAATTTCTGCCATACAACATCATCATAAAACAGCCCCACGCATTCCTGAGCAGTGCTCTGAAAATCAATTACCTGTTCTGTTAATCAGCTAAGCACTTTTACATCCATATAAAGGCCGAGAAATATGTATGACCAAATGCCATCCAGGTTTCTGAAGGAGACACTCCAAATAACGAGTTCATGTAGGAATAATTTCTTATATCTTAAATGAAGGCTAGAATATACAGGTACATTACTGGAATATTGCAAATCTCATCTGTTAGGATTTTCCGGCTAAAGGATATTGTTGTGACTCCAGCTGATTGAGGAGATGCCACTGGAGTGTGGCGAAAACTGATGCAGAGGGGCGGAGCTACCTGCCACATCCCACAGCTTGATGTCGTCCCCACCTGTGGCCAGTTTAAGCCCCTCCTCCATGGTGGGACCAGTCTCTGACCTCTGCCTGACTCAGTGAGCGAACATGGGGAAATACCTGGTGTTGGGAGCTATGTGGGTGACTAGTTTTCCTTATAAATGTATTCGGCAAAAAATGTATCCTGCCAAAAAAAAGCAAAATATGAGATGACATTAAAGAAGGGTGGAAATCGAGTTTAAGTTTTAATCATGTAAGTTCACGGAAGGGAAAGATTTCCAAAAACGGACATCACTTGACACTATGTGCACCATCCCTATGAGGCTAGTGTTTTCTGAGTGAATGCTTCAATATTTTACCCCTGTTAAAGCTGACTTTTTAGGATGTGTCATTGCTTTCTGATGGCTGATAAACCACTACAGGAGACATTGAGTGATGACTGTGTATAGAACTCTTTCCCAGGGGAGTGATGACTGTGTATAGAACTCTTTCCCAGGGGAGTGATGACTGTGTATAGAACTCTTTCCCAGGGGAAAGCTACTATGACTGTATAAAATGTGCTTTATAAAATAAAAATAAAGTTGTTAGGTATCTCTAATCCAGGCATTGAATAGAGTTTTTTTTTAAAGTTCGAATTTCTCGATAATTGTTTTTAACAAATACAACAAGCTCAGAAGAAAAAAAAAGAACAAAGTCAATACATACAATCATGGCACACGCAGTACCAAGCATACCAAGGTACTGAGACTGGTAGATGCACAAAAACAACGCTTAGCCTGCAACAGCTAACTCTCCATCTATTCAGACCTGGATTCATAAACATTTCATGGCACTGACATAGCACACTAAAACTTCACGATTGGTTCCACCTGATATTCCTGAATTATGTATTAAAGAATGCCACTTCAGTGTCCACTTCCATTTGGATGGATGGATCCTTCTGGGTTGAATTTCTGTCCTGAAAATTGTTTTGGCATTGCTCTACATAAAAATTTCACTGAATTTTACTAATACTATAGGATTTCAAGACTATCTGTGCTGAAGCCACTACGTCCATTACTAAATATACTAATGACTAATGTGATTTTTGTGGCTTGAGTCAACATTGGTTATAATTCTAGCCAAAGTGTGCAGGTTTCACTATCTATGACCCAAGCAGGTTGCTTGCATGGGGTCAATGGGACCTTGAGGGCAGTACTAGTGCATTTAACTTTAAACAATAGCTCTATCTTGTGAACAAAATGTCTAAGTAGATTTATTTTTGCCAAGGAAGGTAATATCTACATGTAGATCGTGAATTACGATCTGCATGACCTGCTATAAACTAGAACTTTACTGATTGTGTCATGTTTGAGTGATGACTCACATTTGTCATGTTAGTTACTTGTGTTAAGTCACTCATGTCCACGATGTCTCTGGCCTTACTGGCCTTGGTCAGTTTTCTGTTGCAATGAAACACCCTGATCATGCTGAAATTAGGCCCCAGTTAATACGATTACAATACAACCTACTTCACAATTGTTGACACGTCAAACTTGTCTCCTTTCATGTTAATAACTAGGAAAGTTCCATATACCGATGCCACTTGACACCCCATGCACAAACCCTATGAGACTGGTTTGAAAGATTCTAAGTGTTTTCTAAGTAAATGACTTGGGTTTTCCCCTCTTAAATTGAACTTTTCTGGTCATATTTTGCTTTCTGAAGGCTCACAGGTCACAGTGGGGAATAATTACAGGCGTCTGTATATGGAGCTCTTCCCTAATGACAATGATCATGATGATGGCTGTCTAAACATGCCTAAACGAAAACGAATAAAAAATATAACATAGGGCCTACATTTTTCAACATTCTTGGGAAACATATTGTCCTAAAAATCACAAATGGTAAAATAAATGGTAGAGTGCTTCTGAATCACTTCTCTCACACAGGAATCCGTGTTTTAGCTTCCGGTATGTCGCAAATAAACGCTGCTTCGATACGCGATTGGCATTATGCAAATATTTGTGGGTCAAACGGCAGATTCGTTCGTGTCGTTCGCGTTCGTGGTCCTGTTCGTTTGACCGCAAAAGGGCTACAAAAATTCAACCGTTAATCACTCATTATTTTTTACAACTACGACCGTGAAATTTTGAAATCTACTCACTGGTGTTTCGGCAGTGACATGTAACTAAAAACGAAGGAATTTCGACAAACAGTACAAAATATGTTCCAACTACCGCCAACAATTTTCAGATTGCAGCATACACAATAGCGCCCTCTTTCTTCAAGACCGTGCATAGCGCCCTCTTTTATTTGGAAGATCGTCACACTTAATATTCCCGGATCCCCTTTTGTCCCGAAATTTTCACCTCTCCTAAATAGCCATTCTGGGCGGGCTCAGTGACGACTGCTTGAGGGAAATCGGGGCAGACCCGGGAAGTTTTCCAAAGAGGGGGGGGAGGCTGGAGATTTTCTTGAATGTCTCATTTTTGCAGACTAGCGGAACGGCGATGATGAAAAGTTACATGACAGACGTTGTTAACAATCTTATCGGTGTATACAAATAAGACGACTCTGTGGGATGCTACCTTTTTTCCTTTAGTTTTTTTTTATTATTGCCCCCATTTTCTACCCTTTTTTGTCTCAGATTCTCCCGGATCGATGCCTGGAAATTGCTACGTTTTCTAAAGGAATCAGTGTCAAAGTCTAACGTCCGACCGTTTAGATGGCAATGAACCTAGCTGCGAACATAAATGATTACAAGGAGTATTTTATTTTTCGATTTTGTCTGTCATTCTCTCCCCGCTTCCGAATGAAATTCGAATAAAGGTGATGCAAACATTAAAAAGAAAGAGGCCAAGCGGTGTTCGTGCACCGATAACAGATAAAACAATCGGTACTCCTTATAAAGGTTAGTCTGCTCTCATGCTTCTCTCAGGGTAGTTTTCATTTTTCTCAAGGAACAAAATTTACCGATGAGTGAAGGTGATCCTCACACCGACTTTAAAATGAAAGGACGCCCTCATTCTTAAAATAAAATAGATACCAGAATCTTTTACCTACGGCCCATAACCAGTCCGAAATTAGGATACAACCACCGAGGTAAACCACAAAGGGGAGTCTTTAACAACGTACGTTCGTCAGATGTCCAATGGTCGGCCATCTCGACTCACAGTTAAATCTTGTCGTTTGTTTTCCGTTGGATGAATGTCATCTCATTTGCAAGGCCCCAGCACAAAAAGTATTTTTCGAAGGGAGGAAACTCCCAGCCTGCTTAACGATGACGTAGTCACGGTTACAGGAGTGTTTGCAATAGGCCTAAATGAAAGGAGATTTGTCAGTCCAATCAAGCGATTCTTCACGTAGATCGTCCAAATCATGTACATGTAGCAGTAGGAGAAAGAAACCCATACTTCCGCAGTGGGAAGTGGTCATTGCCGTCCAGTGGTTTCGTTGGCTTGAGCGTTATTTCCAATTTCCTGGCCCCAGCCCCCAACATTTCGGACATTGCTTTCCGCTGCAAGGAGAGACACTGGATAGAACTGGAAAACGAGCAGTTATTTTCCAAATTTGGGTTGGTAAAAAAAGTGCAAACTCTATGGCGAAATGTGAAATTGAAGCGTTCGCTCCAGTGCAGCAAACTTCCATTGAGAATAATCTCGTTTTGCATAAAAGAAGCAGTTGCAAATTCTGCGCTGTGTGTTTTTGAAGAGGTACTTCAATGCCAGCCAACAATTAGGCTAATTCACAGCTTCTGTCCGACTTAACCAAAATTAAACCAATCAATGAGTTTCGAATGGACACCACCAAATGTTTGTATACTTGGCTATCTCGGATGAGTAGAGGAAAGCGCTCCCTCCCAAAATGTGTTGGCACTCCAGGTCAGACACGCTGGCGCGGGCAGGCCACTCGAAGAAGAATGGTGTCATTCATCTTGACTTGTTCAGCTTACCCCGTCCCCAAGTGCCGGCGACTCCGGCCTGAGCGCGGCCCGTCTTGTTGCCAGCAAAAGCCCGGGGCCACTCAAGGGCCGGCCTCTCACAGCGGCTAAACAATGCTGAGTGGCTGTCGGCCGGACCGGGTCCGCTATACTATGTTGCCGGGCTCGTGCGTGTGCCGTGTGGTCGGTCTGGGTTCTTAAGGGGGGGGGGACGGACCCGCGCGTCCCTGGCTGGAGTGGATTTGGGGAAAAGACCCACGACTCCAGCTGCCGTGTGCCCTAAATACGCCATCAACAGAACCTGTTGAAGTGCGTTGCTGTCGAGTGTCCAGAGTATGAGAGAATTTAATTTTCTAGGTCTAATGATCTACACCGTCAATAAATGGCACATTCTATTGTTTTGACGTGCTTCTCGAAAAAAAAAGCAAACGAAATATAAACACACAAAAATTAAGGATTTTCATTTACCTCATTAAATTTAAACGATTCTGATTATAATTCTTATATATAATAAATTTCAAGATAGAGAGGATTTTCCCGTTTCGTTCGTTTTTTTCTTTTCTTTTCCCCTTTTCATTTTCGATATATTTTTAGTCTACGGGAAGCATCCTTTGCCCCTTCTCACAACGCCCATACACGTGGCCTGACCTGAGCCGAGGGGGGGGGGAACACTCGCCAAACACCAACCTGGAACTTTTGAAATGTACATTACAGTGGTTCCTACCGTAACTCATCGTGATTTTTCATCCCTTTTATTGATTCTATAATGATGTATATTTCTTCAGGTCATAAATCATGATTTCATTCAGATTCTCCATTGTTCTCGTCTTAAACTGTTCGCTGATGGATACACTTAGGCCCCTATAAACCACTCTAAAGTACTTGCGTAAAAAAACAGAACTCATTGGAGGAGTGAAGGATGCGAAGCAACCAACGAACAGGTCTATCACAAGGCTACTTCGTGATCTGATGCCTGTACTGTAGGCCCCATTCCAACCAGAGATCGCGGTGGTAACGACGATAGCATTGAGTCGAAGTAGTGTAACATCACAGGAAATACTTGCACATTATTGGAAACAACAATTTTAAAACATTCTCCCAGAATTTATTGAAAACCATTTTCTTAAAACTTTACTTTCTACTTTTTAACACTAAATGACTACTTTCTCGGACGATTCTAATATTATTTTTGTTTCTAAAGGAAATCATCCTTCCTTCTCCCCCCAAAGAAAATTACTAAAATAGCGTGAAGTATTTACACTGACTTCTAAAGAAACCTCTTCACAACATGTCCAAATTGAAATGGGCAAACACAGTCTGTTTATTTCTTCTGCTGATTTGAACAAGTTATTCGATACCATGACTTTGGTTTCACAACTTGAATTCTTAACAATAGATTTGTTCCTGAACAAAAGTAGCAACTTGTGAGATTGGTGAAAATATGACATCAGACCTTTAAAAAATTATGGTTGCTTGTCTTCAAATAGGGAATAAGACGAAGTCTTCCAAATTTCCTGAGGTAAAGTTTCCAAACTTATTAATTTAAACCTGGCCCCCAAACCAAACACTAATTCAATTATACAAATGTTAAGACTTAAACAGAAGTATACGTTGACAATTTTTATGACATAGAAATGAACGTTTTCTAGCCAACACAAAACACATTACAAAGTAATACTTTCATTTAAGAATTTTGATTTCACAAAACTAGCCAGAACATGTATGAAAAGAGGTGTACATGTGTGCCGTATACCTTTGTATCAACCCAGTTGCTATACATGCATGTTGCAAGGGACGCCAACAGTTGAGAGTCAAATGAAAATAAACGACTACTTATAAATCTCGTGCCCTCATTTTTCGTCATCTCAAACGCCTCTTCATAAGCCGAATGTGGATACAGAGAAGATTCGGACTATGTCATAATAAACCATAATATCTATCGAGGAAGCCATTTTTGATAATGTTCCATGAATTTATCTCATTCAATGTAGCCTGTCAAATGGGATGGTGCCAGACTATTTGGGGTTACATACCTCACTTGCATTTTGATAGAATAATTTACGAATTCTAAAAACTTCATCACAGTAAAACGAAATTAGTATGTAATGAACTTCTATTTCATTGCTTTCATTTTAATTCTTGGGTTCCCAAAATTTCAAAAACATAAGTCAACCTCGCTTTGTGATTGTGGTATGGGCAGTCAAGATGCAATAGGTCCTAGATGGCATGCACTGGTGGATCCAGGTAGCCAACAGGACTAACTCCCAATCCCCTAAGCAGGATTCTTTTATTTTTGAAAAATAATTTTTGAAAACGCGATTTGATTTTAGGAACCTATTCACGTCCCCTAATTCCAAAAGGAGCAAAAGGTCCCGATATGTAGCCCGTAATCCCTAATGCAGAAAGGCCAAAGAAATTTGCCCTCACCCCCCGAAAATGTGGTGCTGAACCCGCCCTTGGGTCGACGTTTAAGACGCCTTGAATTCCAGTAATTTATCCCACTCCTGCCATCAAAAACTGTTTTGCTTCCCGCCAAGCAACGTGTCATGCCCCGCAGGTCGCTGATTTCTTCCCTCGTTCACCGACAACTCGCTCGCGATATCGGTGACCTTCCGTTCGTCGCTTCTCTCCTCCAATCAATAAGCACTCGACCTCGAGTCGGTCCATCGACGATTTATTGTCATCCTTTTTTTGGCAAAAAAATGCGTATTAGCCTTTACGGGTCGACAGTCCGCAACCTGTCCCTTTTAATTAATCAGTCTGCAATTCCTGTTTTCTGCCGGCCTAATTAAGGCAAAAATCCCAAGGTGTTGACTGGATCCTACCACGGCTGCCGCAATCCTCGACCTGTCACACGGTGCGCCATTAAGGCCTTTGACCGCGGCGGTTCCCCGCTGTTCCCCATTGTCACCGGCCGTTCGATTATCACTTGTCGAAAGTGTGAAGAGAATGCCTCGCTCAATGCCACCCCTGACCAAAGAACCAATTGGCCAGATGAAATAACCTTTCCCACGATTGCAAATCCACATTATTAATTTTTTTCAATGATGATCAAAATGCTTGAAGATGGTTCTACGCCCTGCACCAGCTTCATTACACATGGATTGTGTATATCGAAGGCTTGCCCGAAACGACTGTTCATTTTGATTAATTGCTAATTTTGAAGCTATAGTCTATATTGTAATTAATTGCGCAGCACAAAATGT